GGATCCGAACCCTCGGCGGGAACGCTGCCGCGCTCCCAAGCGGCGCACTGTAGCAGTGCGCAACCGGGCTGGCCCGAGAATTTGCATTTCTAATAAGTTCCCAGGTGATAGTGATCCCAGGTCCAGTGACCACACTTTGAGAGGCACTGATCTGGTTGTATCAGTTAGCTACTGCTGAATGACAAACAAGTCTGAAACATAGAGGCTAGAAGCAGCAACCATTTATTATTTTTCACACATCTATGGGTCATCCAGGCATGGCTGTCTAGGCTGTGTTTGGTTGCGCTCAGCTGGATGGCTCATCTCAGTTCCATGTGGTTTCTCATCCTCCAGCCAGCCAGCTTGGGCTGGGTCTCCAAACCAGTGCTCTTATATCTGTCATCCAGCTTCCCATGAAAATTCTTGAGACTGTAGAGAAAACTCATGAAGCAAGAACCATCATACCCCCTGGCCCCTCAACCTCCTGGTGCGTTGGGGGCTTTGCCTCCTGGGGTGGGTTCATCTTGAGGCTTCTCCCAACATCCTCTGGGTCAGGGTTTAATGCTCAGGTCTAGAGAGTCCTGCCCTGGGAAGTACTCCTGTCTGTTCCGGGGCTCTGACCACAGTTTTCTCATATGAATATTGGGGATAATTATTGCAAAAAATATCTGCCCAGCAGCCCTGTAACCTGCTGTGGGACGTAAATGAGATGGTGGTGTGACCATGACGCATCAAATACATCAGAAAATGAATCGGCTCTTATTTCTCAGAGCTTTTTATTCTCTTCTGGGAAATAGAACAAAGCCAAGTCCTTCCTTTGATTTCCTGAGGTCCTGTTCTGTATCCGGGCTTGTGCTAGGCCATCAGAGAGGGCCCTCACAATGCTTCTGGAAGTGATCACAATCCAGGATGATAAGACCTAGAGGAGGGAAGGAGTAACAGCTCATGGGGATCAGCAAGGACTTCTTGAAGTGGGGACCAGCTGAGCTGGGCTTCTAAGAACGAGCAGGAGTTTGCAGCATAAGGAGGTGGGTACACCACATACTAGACAAAGGGAACTGCATGAGCGAAAGCGTGGAGGTGGGAGAGTTTATGTTGTGCCTGAGAGGTATGTTGAAGCTGAGGAGTACTTTGTGTATAAAGGAGCCCCAAGAGATGAGGTGGGAGACGTCAGTGGTGTCCAGGTTGTGAAAAGCTCTGAACGGCAGGCTGATGGCAGCAGGGGGCTACAAAAGGGTTCAAGCCATGGAGGGTCGTTCCGCAGCTTGGAGGGAGACCTGTGACAAAGCCTGGTCCAGGACAGGACCACAAAGATGTGAGTAGGGGCAGATAGGAGAGTCTCTGCAGATGTCAGATGGGTGGTCCAGTGGAAGGGGACAAGGAGGGGGTCCTGTTTTTGATAAAGATAACATCTGAATTGCAAGGAAGAAAAAGTGTGAGTCACACAGAGTGACAGGAAGAGCATTCCAAGCAGATGAAATAGCAAGTGCAAAGGCCCTGAGGCAGTGAGCCTAGGCAGCGTGAGTGTGGGCAAGAGATGAGATCAAAGAGAGGGTGGGGCTCAGATCATGGTGGGCCTTGCAGGCCACAGGGAGCAGTCTAGATTTCACACTGGGGGCAGTGAAAACAGAGGAGTGATAGGATTGGATTTATATCTTTACATCTACCTCTGTTCCAATCAGAGCAGCACGTGGGCTGTGTCGAGGGGACAGGGGGATGGTCTTCGGCTCTTCAGGATGAGTTTTAGGGCTTAGGGCAAGTGGGAGATTTGACTCAGCAGCCAGGGGAAGGGGCAGTGACAGGGCCTAAGGCAACCCTGAGGGGAAGGAAGCCCCAGGGGCACAGGGCTCCCCACTTTTGTGGGCTCTACTCCAAATTCCCAGGTCTCCCCAGCCAGAACCTGGATGCAGGTGTATCCCCTCCTCCTTTTCACACACTCATGACATTTTTGGTCATTGTCCCACCACACTCCTGGGCCAGGAGAAGCTGGTGTCACAGAGATTTGGCAACTCTGCCAGAGCCTCCTAGTTTGCTGTGCAAGATGGAGTAGGGAGGGCCTGCAGACTTCCTGGAAGCGGTGGCTTCTCAGCTCCCTCTATCTCCTCTTGTTGCCTCTGACACAGTTTGAAGACGGGATTCTGGACATCTGCCTGATGCTTTTGGATATCAACCCCAAGTTCCTGAAAAATGCCAGCCGCGACTGCTCCCGCCGCAGCAGCCCCATCTACGTGGGCCGGGTGGTGAGTGGCATGGTGAGTGAGTGGCAAGGACCACCCAGGGTCAGGGTCCACAGCAGGCCCCAGCAGGGTCCTCCATCTCTGTGATAAGGCCGGCCATGCTCTGTGCTGGGCATGGTGGGGGGACTCAGGAGATGGGTAGGTCTTAGCAAAGGAAGTTTGTACCTGCAAAGACACGATTTACACAAATGAGAGCAATGCCATGTCATCTCCAAAAGCAATCCATTCATTCAGCAGATATTTATCAAGTGCTACCTATGTCCTTTCAAGTGTCCTATGCACTGGGAATACAGCCCAGTACAAGTCATATATGGTCTCTAACTTCACAGAGCTTACATTCTAGTGGGCAGCGAGAGGAGGCAGACATTAACGAAAACGTCCCGTGAACAAGTGCGCAATCATAAGTAATTGATGTGAGATGTGAGAGTGTTTGATTGCAGGGCCTAACCTCAGTGACGGGCTGGGGGCCATCCCGAAGGTGGTGACCCCTGAGCTGATATAGTCATCAGGAGAGGGCATTCCAGGTAGAGGGTGCAGCCATGCAAAGCTTTGGGAACGACTTTGGCAGGTTTGAGGAACAGAAGGGGCCAGTGTGTCTGGAGCACAGTGAGCAAGGGGGAGTGGGGTGCAGGAGGAGCTGCAGAGCTGTGGAGGGGCCAGGCTACATAGGGCGCTGTGGGCCACATCAGGAGGCTGGATTTTATTCTTGAGGTAATGGGAGTTTGGGGCAAATGATGCAATATGGGTGGGGCCCTGAGCAGGTCTTTGTAAAACTCAGATCACACTGTGTCACTCCCTAGCTGCCTTTGCTCCCTGGACAGATTCATGATCTTGACCCCTCCTCACCTTCCCCCTTCCCCTGTCTCCCTCCCACACCCCAGGCTCCAGCTCCCAACCATCCCCTACATAACGCAGTGGGTCACACCATGGCACCTGCGCACCTGCTCTTCCCTCATCCTGGAGCTCCCTTCCCTGCTTTCCGAGACGCACTGGACTTGGGCTCACCCTGGCACAGCCGTCACCCTCTCCCCGAGCTCAGTCCCCCACGATGTCCCACTGGTTGCAGGTCAACTGCAATGATGACCAGGGTGTGCTGCTGGGACGCTGGGACAACAACTACGGGGACGGTGTCAGCCCTATGTTCTGGATCGGTAGCGTGGACATCTTGAGGCGCTGGAAGAAGTACAGCTGCCAGCGTGTCAAGTACGGCCAGTGCTGGGTCTTCGCCGCCGTGGCCTGCACAGGTGAGTTGCGCCCTGGGATGTGGGGAGCGTCTGGAGCCTGCCCTCAGCCTCCATGAACCCTGGGAGGGAGGCACCAGGGTGGGGATCAGGAGACCCCAGTTCTGGTCCTGCCTCTGTCACCTATGCTATCAATGCACCATGTGGCCTGGAGCTGGTAGCCACCCCTCTCTGGTCTTTTTTCTGACAACTACCCCTCAGGTGGTTGTTAGGATCAAGGAATATCATTTGTCAGGTGGTGTGGGCTCAGGGATGAGAACATGGGCTCTGGAGCCAGGCACACCTGAGTTAATTCCCACTCTCCCACTCACTTGCTCTGTGACCTTGAGCAAATGACTTCTTTCTGAACCTCAGTTCCTTCATCTGTAAAATGGGTACAACAATAAGACCTACCTTCCAGGCTGAGTATGACATAAAGGTGCCCAGCACAGAAC